TTTGTCGTGGAAGTTGTAAATTTTGTATTAGTTATTTGACGGTATACAATAGAATATTATTAGAATCTCTATGAAAGTAACACTGAAAAGATCTCTGGTGGCTTCGGGACTTAGTGCCCGCCGTAAATATCATAATTAGTACGCGAGCAACCCGCGTTCGACCCCCGTCGGCACAAAATTGCATTGAAAATTGTTAATTGCGGTTTTAAGTACTGATGGCGTGCTCGGCGGGGAAGGAATACATTGTGAGGAAACCTGCATGTCTGACAAATAAATAAAATTTTCGAAGACATGAAGTAGGCACACGCGCTTAAACCTTATCAGAAATGAGAGGAGGCCTGTGCCCGGTAGTGAGACATACATATATAGGCTGTGACTTTCCTTTTACCTTATAAAACACATAATTTGAAATTTAAAACTTTGTACAACCGACTCCTATATAAATTATTAAGAATAACTCAACAACTATTGGTCAGACCTTGATCAAATTTATATGAGACCACATGTATAGCACCAGCTTTCAAATAAAAAAAGAATCATCGAAATGGGTTCACCCAGAAAAAAGTTAAGAGGTAACACACATAAAAAAAGAAAAAACATACAGTCGAATTAAGTGCCGCCTCCTTTTTAAAGTCGGCAGAAAAAAGGTATAGATCCATAGGTAACTTCAGCATGCTCCATTCCACAAAACCTACACTCCTCGAACATATTAAAAGGGAATTGGACAACCTATTACTTAACGCGGCCGTAAGAGAGCTATCCAATTTCAAAGTATATGTACTGAGAGGTGATTTCCTAAAATATATCATGATTATTTTTGTATCATACATCAGAAAAGGAAAATATATTATTTTCAATAAATTGTTTAACGTCGGTAAACTTGTGTGGTGCCTACAGTCTAGAAACAAATGTAGGTCGTAATAATTCCTCGTATAGATATTTCCTTCCTGGTCCGCGCACTGGCTGTCGTGTGGAATGATATTTACACTGAGTCGCGGTCGGTTGACCAACCATGAAACTTGCGTTTTATACCGGGAAAACGAATTACTCCGCGACAAATTAAAGCAAAGTTTAGATTCCTGACTCATCATCATGACCAGATTAGATTTCATATAAAAAAGTGTGTGGTTGTTGTCGATTGTTTGAAAAAAAAAGTGTTATATATATTATTACGTGAGGTGAAAACTTTGTACCTCTTTTTAAAAATATTGCGTGAGAAATTTGACATAGTTACATATTATATGAAGGAGGACTGCAGAAAGCTTACATTTATATATAATATGAGTTACAAATACATTAAATTAATTAAAATAAAACATACATTGTTTACGTGTCGTGTGAACAAATTATATGGTTTGTTGTGATGAAACTTTACGAACAGATAGATACGAACTTATAGAGCTGGCGGGACCTAGACCATATTTTATACAAAAACCTTTGAGATTTTTAATTATTATTACTTAGTCATTATAACGTATTATTATTATATGCAATTTTCTTTTTTTATCTTCAATTTTTTATTTTATTTTATTTATTAATACAGTTTATAGTTGTGGAGATAAAAGTTTCTTAAAATTAAATGATTAAGTACTAAACTGTAAGCCAAAACATGTGTTTATGAAGTACATTATAATGAGTTACATCTGCTAAAGTTATAAATAATTTAATAAACAGTGGCTTTACAATCAACCAGAGCAGATTACAAGAGGCCTGTTACAAATTAAAGCTAGAACAAAAGTGAGAAGAAACCTAAAACAGATGAGACCAATTATTTCAGAATATTAAGGGTAGATCTATTGAAGACATTTGAATTTGAATCTATAATATCAACATTTGGATGGTCCTGGGATATATCATTGTAGAGGCGAAACATCCTAACCACTGGGTTGTAATGTGATGTGTTGTTACGTTACACTTGGAGTGAAAACAGTTTAGGCTTGCGGTCACGGGCCCTGTAGTGAGTGTTGTGTTAATCGATGCAAGCAGGGACGGAGAAACAATCGTAGAGTGTACTATTTTATGTAGATACATAAGCTCAAACCTGTTGCGTCTCGTTTCCAGGGAAACCATGTGAAATTTCTGCTGTGTAGGAGGCCAGCTTGCGATGGTAACCATGACGAAAAGAGAGACATCTCAAGAATCTTTTTTGAATGCTCTCAATGCGGTCAGTATATACGGCCTAAACGGAGACCAGATGACTGCACCATATTCCAGAACAATTTATTACACATAACAAATTAGAACAATTATAGAACAGAAAATTTTTAATGAAATAATTTATTTCTACTAATTTAAACTATTATAAGTTAATTCGAATAAGATAAAGTAGAATGTAATTAATTGAATTGAAGTTTATAATGAATTTTAATCGTGTTTGTGTATAAATTATGGAAGGGACTAGCTCCTGATATACAGGATTCCTAGTTCAGGAGCTAGGGCTCAAATTGTAGGGTAGAATGTTTGTTTCTATTAAAGTATTATTTATATTTGCTGTGAATGCAATTCATATCGGATTCATACAACAATAATGTAACCTACATCTCATCTGAATAATTTTTTCGTACTTATGACTGAACACAGTGCCCTACAAACACGCTCGCATCAGAGAAAGTTTCAACTAATTAAGACTACGCCAATCGGCTAATTGCTGTGATAAATTTATAAAACTTAGCCATTAAACGTTCTAGATTTTAACCAGTTAAGAGATCGGTCAAGTATTTTGAACTCGTAAATTATTAACGTCGACATGTTTTAGCAGGAAATTGAGACGTTGCGTTGTGAAGTACACAAGGGGTGTATTGTAATAAAATTTTAAAGCAAAACTAAATATTTCACCAAACCTAGCTTTATAATCATAGTAAATAACATAGGTTAGTTAGAGTAATAACTTATAGTGATAACACATATATTTACTCTAAGGTTAGTACTAAATTTAGTATGATACTACTGTAAGGTACTAAATTATACTCTCTGCTTGTCCAAAACATTCTTTATAACTTATACGACGCATTCATTCCAATGCCATCACCGTCTCGGACAAGGAGCTTCGTATAATTATGGTCGAACTTCACTTAAGGTAAGTTCGTTTAACCATTTAATGATACTGACACTGACATGTTACCTTCGATGATATTTAAATCTCATTGCATACGTATGTATGTAATTACTTTAAGATTTATTCTAACTGAGTCAAGCTTCTTTATCCGTAAAATTTAAAATTCTTATTTTACGCGCGAAAGAATAATATTGAACTTCGCATGCCATTTTCAACATTTTCAAAAGATGACAGTGCACGCATCCATTTAAATTTAATGGCTGTCTTATGTCTAAACTCAGTCATTAATTTATATTTATTATATTAATTACATACAGCGTATCAAATCACGCGACTCATCTCACCCGCTTTCACCGACATTGACGTTTCTGAAAGACTTGGCGACCGTTCACTAGTCCAACCTGCCGATTATGCAATGTATGTTTGCATGAAAGTGTTATATGAGGCGTTATGTAATTTTACGCGTCCCGAGAGCAGCTGAGCCATCTCTTTGTATAGATAGCGGCAATATTGACCTCTAGAAAGCTTGGTTAGTGAATCCGGAATAACATGTTCTAAACAGCCTTGTTCACTTTACGAGTGTTATAAGCTTGTTTTCTACCGACTTCAAAAAAGAGACGGTACTCAATTCGACTGTAGATTGTTTTTATGTGTGTTTACCTCATGACTTATTTCGATGGTTCTTTTTTTATTTGAAAGCTGGTGCTTTGTGTGCATGTGGTCCCATATAAATTTGATCAAGGTCTGACCAATAGTTTTTGAGTTATTCTTAATAATTTATATTGAAGTTGGTTGTACAAAATTTTAATTTTAAATTATACATTCTGAGATTACGGATGTCGTCGATGGCTTTGTTGGGTAACAAGTAACATTTTGAGAACTCAGTGGATCTTTTATGGCGTGTGGTAATTACTTGCATCCATTTCAAAATGATGATTCTACATATTTTAGGGTCATCGTGACAGTTTGATAATGGTGCTACAATTATTCAATCGCTCATGGTTTTTTACTCAGCAAAATTATTGTTGATTCGTGCTAGCTCATAAAGGCACGCGATTTCATAGAATACGTTTAAACCGTGTTCGATCTATACACCGCTGAAATTGTTTATTGCAATATTGTGTATGCTGGTAAAGGCGGGTTGGTAACCGCAGCTTACTATTTTTAGTTCTTATTAGGAAGACGCTGCTGCCCATCTCCTCGTTATGATGAGGGTGACACGCGAGCACACAGTCCACCTGATGGTAAGTGATTGCAGCGACCTATAAACATCTACATCTATCCTCATTTACGAATCAAAATGCAGACCCGTTGTCAGCCGTGAGTACTAAGACGGAACGCCTTTTTTCCAGTAGAAAGGGTCTCCGGTTCTCTGCACTCACCATACGAAACACAGCATTGATTTATGTACTACGTTACAAGGAATAACATTCTAACTATTATAAGCCAGTGCTTGACTACACACTCACCTGATGGTAAGTGGTGATGTAGCAGAACAAGGTAAAATGCTCTGGCTTAGCTAAACAAAAGCCTATTTATTCACTTATGTCTCGAAGATACATTGTAATTGGATGGAAAGACAGCTGGAAAATTATTCCAGCCGTACGTATGATGAACAGCGAAGCAAATTTGGTTTGGTTTGGTTTAAATGCTTGGTATATCTACAACAAAAGGGTGTACACTAGCCGAGCGTCTGGTTATCCGATGATGGAAAGGAGAGGGAGGAATTATTGCATGTAATGGCATGATTTAATTCCTATAATTTCTTAATACATATTACGAGGTAATGTGAAGTCATTTCACACGCATTAGAAAGAACATCGGACTCTTCTTAGCTTCAACCTCTCTAAGAACGAGAGAAGGCTTGTGCATAGCGGTGGGTAGGTAGACAGGCTATTAATTTCATACTACTTTTTTAAATTATTTTTTAACAAATCATACTTACATTTTGAGTAATGACTCCATTTTCTTCTCCATTGCGAAGATTGAATCCGACGGTTGCGATGTTAGCACTTTGCAGAATGTGAATTTTGCACACTGCGAATCTCTCCAGTCCGTTTGTCTCACCAAATCCATGGCTGCCGTAGTTAAACTTGATGAGCTTAAACCACTGTCCACACGCTGTAAGTCGTCAGGCATGTCTTCTGATAACGATCTTTTAACACTGTGCTTCACTCTTTTTAACACACCACTGTGATATGGCACGTTGACATAGCTCAGTAAATCCCGTTTGGCGCGATTACCCTCGCTGTCATCGGGTGACATTACCACATAAACATTTTCACTTGGCATTTTGTAATTATCGTCAAAGAATTTCTGCGTACTTAATATTTGCTTGTCAATATCGTACGGTGCACCAAGAAATGCACGTTTGTGCTCTTTTTCCAATTCATCTTCATCGGTATCTTCATTAAGACCAGAGTTTCGCATTAAATTAACATCTAAAAACCTGCCCATTGCTACTGCCCCGAGACCTAACGCTGCTCCTCCAGCCATAAGTCCCAATGCTGGAAGCATAGCAGGAGCCCCCGATGCAGCAGCTGCGACGCCTATCTTGTCCTGAGCGTACCTTTGTGTTTGTATTGCGTTGGATGGGTAGAGGCCTAAGTTGTGTGAAATTTTGTGTGTTGCTTCCACAATTGGATCGAATACAGGTTGAGTTATTTTTGTAATTGGATCTATGATGGGTCGCGTTAGTGACTGAACTGTTTGACTTGCGCTGTTTATTGTGTCTTTCATAGAATCTGTGAATCTCTTCCATAAAGAAGGCTCTGGTACACGTTTAACGTAGCTATAAGAGTACGGGTATTTCGGACTATGGTTGCGTTCATAATACGAGAATTTATTATATTCGTCTTCATAGTATCTGTTGCTAGGGGGTATTTTACTTTGAGATCTTTGTTGGTTATACCCATTTATAGGCTCCATGGGATAAGGATGAGCGCTCTTTGGTACGCTGGTATAGTATTTAACCTTCCTTCCCATGGTCTCATAGTTGTCGACACCATCACGCGTTGCCTTGGCAGGTTGAATTCCGAGTTCAGGATGAGCATATTGTAAAACTGGATTTCTTTGACTTTCGTCAAAGATTACTTTAGAATTTTTAGGTGTATATACTAAAGAGTTAGGAAAATTAACATCTCCTGGATGTTGGAGCATTCTTCTTTGTATGTGACTCTCGGCATAATCCATATCTCCATGAGCTCTTGAACTGCGCCCACTAAAGTAGTCACGCTTCGACTCTTGCTCGTTTATCTGCTTAATGTATTCGATGAGTTTTGAGTTGGCTACTTTTGAATTATCGGCTTTAGTGAAAGGACCGTAGCTAGATTTCAAGTAATGATTGTCTTTTTTCTGTTTATACACATAATTTGGATTGTTGTTGATAGTATAAGGATCAACAGCGTCATCAGCATCAAATTTAACATTGTCAAATTTCGTAAACGGCCCGTCTTTATGTTTAAAGTTGTCTTCCTTAGTGAAAGGACCGAAACTTTGTGAAGGCTCGGCCGCTGATAGATCTGGGTAAACATCTGCTTCGGGTATTGCTTTTGGAGGAGTGTATCCTTCAGGGTAAGGCAATAATTCACCATTGACTACTCTTGCATTACGCCAAGTCTTCTTGTCAGTTTCGTCATCGGGTACTCTAACGCCATGAATTTCCGGGATTCCTTCATCACTTACCGATAAAATAGACCTTCCACGCTTGTTATATTTGTCAATAGCCTTCTTTAAGTACATTGGATCTGAACTTACTACAACAGGATCAGGGACTTTAAATGTGTCATCTTCCCCGTCTGACACTTTAGTGCTTACAACTTCAATATATACCGGGTTCCTATCATTTTTAATGATCGGGTTATGGGGATCGAATTTGTAGCTTTTAACACGTCCACCATAGTCAAGGAAACTTGTTGATGTGATATAAACTTTTTTGTTTTCCATTTTTTTATCGTTATCATATGTGGGATAGTAACTGGCTGTTTCAGGATCTATGTCCGGTTTTCTGCCATCTTCCTGAATGTGGGATTCAGGGTAGACAGAGACGGGTGACCAGTTTCCGTATTCTGCTTTGACATCACCGAAGCTTTCGTCTTTGTTCCGGTTCAGGTAGTAATCGAAACCGGCTAGATCACTGTTGACAGTTCCGACAAAATTAAGTTTCCTTTGATCTCTAACTTCAGTTTTGTTTTTATCGTCTCCTGTGGCATTAATAAATGTTGTTTTAACGGACACAGTTGTGGGGGCGGGGGTTGTGGTGCTGGCGTATGTTGTGGACTTTGAGTCTTTCTTTTTGACTATGAGTTGCGTCACGTGTCCAGCTTTTGTTTTGACGTTAACAGTCTCTGTACTGAGAGGGTTAAGGCTCCTAGAGACTTTGAGTTCGGTCCTCGTGGTTCTCGAGGGGAGGATGGTGGTGCGAATGGCCTTTGTGGTAGTTGTGTTCTGATCGCCAGACTCCGCAGTGGCGCTGAGGACGGCGCAGAACAGCCACAGCGTGGCGCATATCCGTGAATATCTTACAGGAATCATCTGGAAAAGATGAGAATAAATTAAATTAGTACAATGTGCCACATTATATGCAATCAGTAAGTATATGAATAACTCTACTGCTAAGAAGCTCTGTAGTTACATGTCCGATGAGTCGAGTCCAAAATTCAAATCCTAGATTAATCTAATGTCTACCTAATTCGTTGAGTTTAGGCTTAGACTGTATCGAACAACACGGCTTTGATCACTGTCTCTGACAGCTGTTTAGGTAAAATTTTAATCATAGCAAAATGATATCATTATGCACATAATTATGATGCAATTAAAAACGTAATTTCTTATTTTATTATTTATATATGGTCAGCTCTTGGTGAACGTCCTCCTTTTAAAGCACAAGTGATTATTTTCTAAATCCTCTCCGTAAATTGACCGCGTAATGGTGGTGTAAGAATACCCACTAGCCAATATCATCCCGTGGATGTCGTAAGAGGTGATAGAGTGAAACAAACGAGGAGACGGGCAGCAGCGTCTGCCTAATAACAACTAAAAACAAAAAACTGCGATTGCCAACCCGCATGCCAAGCGTGGCAACTTTGGCAAATATCCCTTATATGGTAGAGGCCTATGTTCAGCAGCAGATTTTAATAGGATGTAACGGTAAACGGTTAACCATCTCTATTTTATAGTGATAGCATTTTATTGTTACCAAAGAAAATATTATACAATCAAAAGGTCGTACTTAATATTATATTAAATTTCACGTGTTCGCGGTTACTTTTTTATGGAATACCTAAAGGTGACAAACGAGCATACAGTCCCTGATGGGAAGTGAATAGACATCTACATCTATTACCGATTTAGAATCAAAATGCAAATGCTTTGCCGTTTACGTGGGCTAAGATAGAATGTCTCCTTTCTAGCAAAAAGAGTCTGCTGTTATTTTACGTTGGTATTCTTTGAGGGCGTGGTCTAACCGACCCGTTCGTGCTATAACCATAATATAGTTGGCTTTAACACGTAGCTATAGAAACTTTTCTAGTTAAGTCTTAGTAAAGTTACACGCAGCCACGATATTTAAAAGGAAACAGAAAAGATGATATTAACTCAATTTAATATGAAAAAAAATACCTGCACTGATCTATTATTAACTGAATAAAATAACATGATCATTGGAATACGCAATACGTACATAATTAAAAAATAACTAGCGCAATGTTTTTTGGAATATCATATTGATATTATGGCCATAAAATGTAGGCTATAATTCTCCCTCAGATATACATAAAGTGTTATCAATTATCACACCTTGCATTCCAAGATTCTTCAAGCAGCTACAGGAAGTCATAATAGCACGGAAAAATCAGTGGCGTAGCTACCCAGGGGCTAGCCGGGGCAGTGCCCCGGGGCCCTCAAGCTAAAAGGGGCCCCTTGGCCTCCAAGAACGAAATTCGAAAAATTATGTACTAACCTAGTTGTATAAAGAATTTTCGAGTTTTAACTTTTTGGCCTCTCACAGAACACCAGCGTAAAATAGCAGCTTAATGCTGCTGTGTTTCGTATGGTGAGTGTAGAGAACCAGATACCTATTTTACGGGAAAAGAGGCATTCTATCTTAGTCCTCACGGCTGACAACGCATCTGCATTTTAATTTACAAAAGGAAGATAGATGTAGATGTCTATGGGCCACAGCAACCACTTACCATCAGATGGACTGTGTGCTCGTTTGTCACCCTTATTCTATATAAAAAAAACTTTTCGGCCCTTGACCGCGAATAGAAATCACAAAAATTACTCCCACTTCCAGAACATAAGTAGAACATTGTTAAAGATAATTGTCTATTTCGTCTTATTGTCTTTTTTATATAGCAGAGAGGGACAGACGAGCATGCGGCTCACCTGATGGCAAATGTCGACCACCGCCTATTAACAAATATAGCACATGGGGAGTTGCAGGCACGTTGCCGGCTTTTTAAATAGGAGTAAGCTCGTTTCTTGAAGCTCCCCAAGTTGTATTGGTCCAACAGTAATATACCGCCAAACATCTCGATGATGTAGATTTGTGAAATGCGTTGATGAAATTTTGTGGCTGGAATTAATCCAAACAATTCCTATGAACACTACCCGTAAATGCGATAGAAAATGCAAAATGATTTAACGTCTCTTCGTCTCGTATTTCATTTTCGTCGGTCGTCGAGGATTCGAGCCGCTTTGCGCTGGATACGGTCAAGTAGAAGGAGCTGGTACTAGGGAGCCCCGGCCCAGGGATGAGAACAGTATTCAATCTTAGGCCGAACCTGCCCCTTGTTGTTGCAAACAGTGTGCGGGCATAAAATACTGTACCGCTCTGCTGAACACGCCAAGCTTTTCAGTGGCCAATTCAGCCTTCCCTTCCAAGTGCCTACGAAACTGCACGTTATTCGATATGTCAACGCCGAAGATTCCGATACTGGCTGAAGTAACAAGGGGAGTGCCCTGAAATTGAGGAGTTACCACAAAGGGGTTCTTTTTAGTGGTAAACGCGCAAACTTGTGTCTTCTGGGCATTGAATCAAGTTAGATTTAGTCGCCCCAATCCGAAACTTTATCCGGCAAAGACACTTCTACAGACAAGTTTGTTCCGGTACTCGGCGACGTTTTCCCGAGAAATATAGGCACAGCCGGTGCATAAAGCATCACCAGTGCACGTTACTGTTTGGAGCATATTATTGATAAGCAGAAGAAACACCATAGGTGATAGGCTTGTAAATTGAACATGCACCTTCTACTACGACTTTGGTGCTCCAATCTCCAAGAAAACTGCTGATCCAGTTGTACAAATTTTCGTGAAGCCCATAGGAAGGGAGACTCGAAAGAAGTGCTTTGTGCCGACCGACCCGAACGAAGGCCTTCGCTATGTCCAAATTAATTGCCAGGGTCTCCCTCTCTGCCTCAGTCAAGTAACCCAGAATATCACTAGCTCAGCAATCCTGACGTAAATCGTACTGGGGGGTCACTTTTCAGTTGGTAATCCTCAAACTCATGAGCTGCCAGTTCACAATGGTTTTCATTATTTTATGAACAAGTTGATTAGGTCTGAGCGGTCGATTTTCGGTTATTTTTTAGGGAACTCGGGACTACGCCTATGAAGATAGAGTTTTAGAAGACACGTTACGACCGGTGCCAACTAGGGAGGACACGTCTTCAGCACAATGGGAGGAACTCCATCAGCCCACTAGACTTGACGTCTAGGGAGAGTAGTGCTATTCACGCCGAGCGCTGTGTAAACCGTATCGTACCGACCTGAAGGCCAAATTATACTTCTTTATAACAGCGCTGGTGAAGTACTCCTATTATATACAGTGCGATGCAATTTAATAGAAGCGACCAAACAAGGCACAACAGATGATAAAATAAAGAGTCCTATTTTCTGAAGTACCAAATCAGCGACAGAAGCACGTTGGGTTCATCCGGAGAGAAGCATACCTGCTCCTGTCCTCAAGGTAAGGATCCAAAAAAAAACGCATCCTGTCCCAATCGGCCGACCTATAGTGCCAAACATGGCGGCAATCTGCAGAACGCTACCGTGATGGGAGTGTGAGTGGCACCATAATCCAGATCAGACAATGATCCAATGAGTCTAGAGAAGCGTCGACGAAGACCTGATATCTGTTCCGATGAGAGGTCAGCGGGTCCAACAGGGAAGGTGCACGTTCCTCCACATCTAGAATATGCGTAGGTGAAGTAACAATTTGTGTGGGACCATATGCCAAGGCAAAGTCATAAACAGATCTTCCCGCAAGATCGGTTAAACGAGAACCAAGCCATTCAGCATGGTGGCCGTTAAAATCACCAAGGATCACGATCTCTGTAGACAGGACTTGTTGTAGCACAGAGTCTGCAGCGATTTGGACGTGGTCGATGAGTTAGTCTGGGTGTATTACCTATAGAGGCACCCGTAGACGCGAGGATGGTCGTCGCTGAACTTCAAAACTGCTGAGGCGTCGAGAACAGATGTCCTCTCTGACGTATACGCAAACTCCAGCCCGAGGCACAAAGGTGTTATAATTTGTATTCCGGATAGGAGAGAAGTATCGACCGGAGGAGACACCCGCGCCTCGGTTATAAAGAGCAAGGTCGATTTCGTCTTCTTCAGATGGGGTACCTAGTGAACTCCGTTAACGTTTGAATGATATCCCTTGATACTGCAGAAATTCACGGATAGCGTGGCAGGGGTCACCTTTGTCTTATTGCTCTACTTGCCATGAGCAGTATTAGTCTTGAGCGGAATTTCGCCCCCCCCCCCCCATCGCTCTAAGGAAGAGTAGGGTAGCTTGGGTGTCGATGCTCAGCCAGGGATCTCCAATACCAGGGGTGCTGGTACCCTCCTGGGATGGTTACTTATTTAATTACACTACCATGTTAAGGGGGAGAGGGCTTAGGCCTTCGACCACCTGCACTTAACAGGCGAAGTAAGCTTCTACTTCACGCTGGTTATCTGTAAGGTAGTGGGTCTCCTCGGTTCAAGCCGGTCCACCCATGCATTCATTACAGCTCCTCATTGTGTCTCATGTCTTACCACGTCGTCACTCCATCTAGCCTGGTCCACCCGTGCGACAGCAAAAACTGCCGTGTGACTCGTCCACTGTTATGTTATTAATTGTAATCTACTTCGTCATTGTTTATGCGTTACACATAATACTTAATAATAAGTAAGTAGCTTTACTTTATTATGCCCTGCAGTGGGCGACAAGGAGATGATTATGAAGTAGTTTTGCACCTTTAAAAGTATTTAGTTTAGTTTGAATAGGGCCCCAATTTCATTTTTGCCCCGGGGCCCTTGGTTACATATCTACGCCACTGGGACAAATATACATGACCATACATGACACACGTAGTAAGGATTAATGTTACAATAAACGAAAATTAATGTGAAAGGTCTTCAATCACCTTGGTATGATATGGTAATAATGTAGGTACGAAAGAGAAAGATAGAATGGAGCACAGAATAAATAATATGAATGGAGTAGTTAAAATGGTGTGCAAGCGAGATAGAATATTATATGT